TTACACAGTTTCTCTAAAAGCCATAGAGGAAGTTTGCAGAAACGTTCAACAACTAATAGCAGTTTGTTGGGTTTAGAGGGAAAATTAAAGTACATTATTTTAAAAGCGTATTTCATAGCATTTGTGAACAAAACTAGGAAAAAATTACCAGTGAATTAAAGTTTATTCATGTCAGAGAATTCAAGAGACCAGATTACAAAGATATATATTGTCTAAATTCCCAGATTGTTCTTATTAAAAGTTCAGATTTATCTTAGAAATAAAAATACCCGATCTGATACCACAGCTCTCACAGAAGCCAAGATAGAACACTGTGCTGATGAAATGCCACAGCTGTGATAAAAATGGACTGTATCCTGTAAATTGCCCTGTTCTCCTCTAACTTGGAAAAATTTATAGCATGGTGCTGGTTAACAATGGAGCATTTATGTAGTTAATTTTATTTATATTAAGCCAGACCACTATTTAAATAATAATCATGTTTCTTTATGGATGCATTTCTTCTGATAATTTCTATAATGAGCCTGTTTCACAAAAACACTAACACTTTTAAGGAAAATGTCTCTTTATTGCTCATGAAATTATGAATATTTCTCTTGCACTTCACTGAATTAACTGGGACACCCCGTCATGCAGTGGGGCAACCCCTGGGCAGCTCTCAGCAGCACTTCATGATGTCACAAATTGAGTGTGTGCCCCCCATATTTTTGCTGGAATTAAAAGCTTTTCCTGCTGTAAGCCAAGCTTGTGTTCACCTTCTTCATGTAATTAAGTAATAATCTTTTCATTCTGATATCATTATCTGTTGTCATGGTGATTTTTATTATAAAAATGAATGGCTGAGATGTGGGCGAAGACAAGTTTTTCCTGAACTTTGTTAAGCTAATACCAAGGGAAGGGTATCTGTGATAATTCAATAAATGTGTGATCTTTTAGCACAGTGTATTTTAAAACAACGAGAAGGACTAGGCATCAGAGACAGAAAAGGCACATTTAATGCAAATTTATCTGTGTTAAGGAAATATGTGTTGAATTTAATGTCTTAGAACAGTGTCTGCATAACACCAGTCATACAGTACATGCTGGTGCTGCATGAGCAAAGACATTCCTTTCTAAATTTCAACTCTTAGTGATTCACTTATTGGAAAAATAGCCCTTTTTTTAGGAGGGAGTCTGACCAGTTTCCAAGTGTGTCTTTATCTCAGTCCAGCTTTTGAGAACAGCTAGACAGCGTTCACACTTCTCCTGAAAGCAGGACATCTGTTCTGGTGGGTGAGTGCACACAAAGTGTTCATGGGTGAGGCTTTGCTCTGGTTTGCCATGAGCAGGACCACAAGTCACAGTCAGTTCTATCTGAACTTCAGAGGAGATCTACATCAGCTCAGTTAAACTCTGGCAGGCATCAGGACATGGTTTTTCTTTTCTGCCATTGAAACATCACAACCGAGGTTCTGAGCTGAACTCATCTCTGTCACTCTTGCCATGGTTCGGAGCAGAACCTCATTCTCCATTGGAGAATACACAGTTGTGCCATTAAATGGTGCCACATCATCATGGCTTGGGAGAGTAGGCCCTCACTCTTGGTGACTCCATGCCCATGGGTAGCTCCCCAGCATGGACACCGCTCTTCTCATCTCCCATCTCAGCAGTTTCTTGGGGCTCCTCAGCCTCTTTTCCTGGAGAGTGAGGCAACCTCTGGTTTGGCAGCTGGTACCTCACATTTGCTTTACTTCCCACCTGAGTGGTTCTGTCATGTTCGTTCCTCCATGTGGCATCAGCTGAGTGTGGAGGTGCCTGCAGGCTCAGCCAACGCACCAGCCGATGGCACCGTCCATGGCACAGCTGCTCCCTGCTCCCAGCACGTCCTGCGTGGGCAGCTGTGGCGTCTCCTGCCTGGGCAGAGAGCCCGAGTGCCTTCAGCCCTCAGGGTGGGTCTGGACCACCTTCCAATGGTTGCTCTACAAAGCATTTGTTGTCAGAACCAGTAATAATGTTTTGGTTATCATATCTGTATAAAACGGTGCCAGTTTGGGTACACAGGGACAAGAAAATCAGAAATATAGAGATTTCAAGTTTGATCGTATTATCTATTCTCTTATGACAGTCCAGATACAATATTGATTTGGGTTTTTTTCCTTGGGGTTAGTGTTGACCTTTAGAGCAGGCCAAGGGCAATCTGGAGCTTGTCTGTGACCACAGGTCCGGGAGGCAGCACCCTGCAGCCCCTCTGAATTGAAATCTCTTTCTGGCTCTGTCAGCTGATTCCCAGGTTGCCTGACAGATAATGTGGCATGCCAGCAACCCGCTGCTTTTCCATTTAAATTAATGATAAAGTTGTGGTTAAATTAACACTCCAGCAGAGGTAATAAGGACCAACTCAGCAGCTGCCATGATGTATGCAAATTGCAGTTTCACACATTAGGAGCTAGATGTTGCTTAATTTGTAGGTCTTTCTGTCTTTTAAATGAAAGAGCCTCCATCAAGTTCAGGCAATCTTAAAACAAAAAGCAAAAGAAACTCCCCAAAGTCAGCCACTCACCAGTGCTTCTAACTGCACCTACAGTTTTTCTTCTGGGGTTTCCCTCCTGAGCCCCAATAAACAGCTATTACTGAGTTACACGGCACTGCTGGGTGCTTTTAGGCAAAATATCTGCTGATTTCCAAAGAACAGACAGTCTGATTAAGGAGATACTGCCGTCTCTTTGGTATAAACAGAAACCTCATTTAATTTGCAGTGGTGCCACAATCCTGAGGCTCAATATCCATCAGGGCTTTTTCCTCTGGAAATGAAACTGTAACAGAGCAAAAGAAGAGCTGTGATAGCTGCCAGCTAATCAGACAGAAAGAGCAGGCTGATAGGAGAGTCCTTTTTCACCTTTTAGATCAGTAGAGATGGGAATGGAGATGCAAAGAAGCATGTAACTGGATGGGGTTTTAGGAAAGGTTGGTTCATACATTAGTTTTAATACTCCTTAATCTCTCTAAGAAAATTATGTAACTGTGTTAGAGTCAAAAGCTTTCCAAATTGATACCAAAAGTGCATCCTCAGAACAGCAGAACTTGGGGTTATTATGGCCACAGAAAATAGGAAAAAATAATGTCCATCAAGGTGCGCTCTGCAAGAAGGAGCAAAATATTAAAGCATTCTGAATCAAATTTTAGCTGGCTCAGAAATGTGCAGTCGCTGTATATATGGCTAAAAATATTGTTGAAGCTCACATGAACTTTTCCAGATTTTATTCAGAAAGGCAGAGATTTCATTCTATAACAAATCCTATCCACATGATTTAGGGATTTGCCTACCTTTTTTGTCCTTCTGACTTACGTGGTCAGTTCTCAAAACCTGTTGCTACAGGTCTTTGAATACCTTTGGAGGAGATTCTCCTTCCTCTGCTCTTGTCAGCAATCCCTCCATGCTCTCTTCCTGATCCTGGATGTCATCTTAGCCTTCACCTCAGCTAGAGATATCTTAGTGACTCCTGGCATCCCATTAGCAAAGAAATAACAGGAACTTGCCCTGTCTAGTCATTATTTGGCTGCAAGTGTTGAAACAAACTCTCACAGGAAAATGCAAGATAAAAAGCTGCAATGAATTTGTGGACAATAAACACTCAGTCTATTACCAAAACACGGGTGTCAGAGTGATTCCCAGTTCCCAGAAGTGAATGCATAGCCAGGCTGGTTTCCAGCTCCCTGCTGCAGTCAGAGCTCTCCATTGCTCTTACTTCTCAAGAAAAGGGAATCTGAGCAGTCAGGTGGGATGAGAGCTGCAGCCTGCCCTGAGCTGAGCTCTCGGAGACAGGGATTGAGGGAAAATCCCCAGGTGCCTCCATTCTGCTCTTCAGATGCAGTCTTGCCAAACTTGTGTGGTTTACTGTTCAGAACACCAAAGAAGACTGCAATTCTCTCTGCTCTGACTCTGTCACTCAAGATAAGCCCCTGCCACTCTCTTTGGTCTTTGTTTCTCATTGCTGAGCCAGGATAATGATGATTTCCTAGCAGTCTGAGAGATTAATTAGCATTTACTAAGCTGCAGGGCCTACTTTGCAATTGTGCAAATACATGTTTGTGTATTCCAATAAATTCTGCATTTGCTGCAGCCCCCCAACCTGGGACACAATGGAACCACAAAAAATATTTTTTAAAAATTAGAAAAAAAGCATTGTTCTTTTGACAAGCAGAGGCAATAACTCTGAGAGAAACAGAATACTCCCATCATGGGCTTGAGGCATTTGTCCCTAAAGTGGTATGAAGATGATGTTGGCTCATTCATGTCCGGGCTAGAGGAGGTTCCCCTCTCCCATTCCCATGCTGTCCCAAAGGTGACTGGGATTTGTAATGTAGTGCTGAAGCTCCAACACAGCTTCACCAGTCCATGGTGAAACTCTACCAGAGACACACAGACAGCCTGGAGTGTGTCCAACCCTGGGTGTCAAAGTGAATGGGTCACAGATGGTCCCAGCATGAAGGAAGGACCACAGCAGGGCCTTACCCTCAGTAAATGGTGCACATCCTGACAGGCTGGGCACCAGGTACCCTCCTTCACCCCGTGATCTGAGTCACAGGCTGCAGCTTTGTGAGTTCACCTCTGCAGGTTCTCATGAATTCAAAGGAGGCAAAGACTTGAAAAATCTGCAATATCACCATGCTTTTAATTGCCCACCTACATTTGCCCATAAACATGCAGCTGATTTTGCTCAAACCTTGCTGCTGACCATAGTGGTTTATCCTAAAGCAGCATAGGAAATAAACAGGAATTAGGATCCTTCAAAAAAAAAGTAAAATTTCTTCTATTTCTGTTCAGAAAAAAAAAGGATGAAGAAATGTAGCATCTTCCAAGCTACATCCCATGTGGCAATCTTCCAAACCTCTTTCCATATGTTCCGAAGTGTTGAAAGCCCAAATGTTCCCTATCTTGCTGCCAAATTCTCTGCATCAATCCAAATGGCTCTTACAATACAGTTGGATATTGTCTAGTGAAAAAAATCCCCTCAGATAGATTGATAATTAAAAATATATTTGATCATCAGAGAGATAAAACTGGCCAAGGGGTGCTGTGCTGAATGGATCATTCATGCTCATATATTTCAAAGCAGAAGGATATCTTTCTGATCTTAATGGAGTTGCCCCAGAAATCCTTAATTGTTACAGAACATATTGCTGAAGAGATTTGAAACTGGGCACAGAGGAGGAGGCAGATGAGCCACAGCAGAGCTCTGCACTGCCGGGTGCAGCCTGGGGAACGTGTCTGGCTGGCTGCAGAGGGAGGCTTTGGGCTCCAACAGACATTACTGGATTGGTCTCAACCCTGTCTCATTTCAGACAGCCCCACACAACTAAAGGCTAGGAATTTGTCCTTGTTTTAAACCACAGCATAGCTGCTGCTGTACTCCCATCCCTGCAAGTGCTGGGGTACTAGGCAGAGGTCTTGGGACGTGACTGAGGCTGCGTGTGTTGGTCAGTGCTTCTTGTACACATTTCATAGCATGGGAGGGAAAGAGAGATTCTCCAGCTTAGGAGCTGAATGTTGCAGCCTCCCATCTACTGTCCTCTTCCTCCCAAGGTCTAGGAATGATGAAGCTTCATGTAGGTATCTCCATCCAGGAGCTCTCTTTCCTCTTGTGAAACCTCAGTTTCCATTTAAAAACTTACTGTAACTCCAGAGAAGGTTCAGTAATGTACCTGGAAAAGTCAACAAGTGAAAACAAACACATGCTGGTGTCAGAGCATAGTACTGTGGGCTGGAAGGTTCCCTGCAAGAGTTCAGGAGTCCCCTCCAATGGGTCTCCAACAGGAATATGAATTGGTGTTATGAGTCCACAGCAGCTGCAGATGCCACTGCTTCCACAGCACAAACAAAACCACAGATACCTGTGCTACATGAGAGTCAGACTGTAGCCAACATACAATGGATAACTTGTGTTGGAGGAAACAGGATAAGGTTTGGGGAGCAAAATCTCAGATACTGTAACTTTTGATGTTATTAACAGTACATGCTACTAATTTTAGAATAAGATCAGATGACAGGTGTTGATGGCCTTGGGGATTGAAGACATTTCTAAAGCATACAAGGCTCTGGTAACCATCCCTTCATGTCCTAAGGTTGTCCAAGAAGGATTGCCGCCTTACACAGGAGATACTTTGGAATGCTTTGTCCCATTTTTCACTGCAATACTTCTCATTTAACTTCTCCTTTCTGTGTACTCCTGGGTCAATTACCACATGCATTAATTCAGCCTAGGAGAAAAGCCAGTGAGTGCATTTTTCTGTACTAGAAGGTATAAAGTAATTGTAGCAGACACTGTAAAAATTAAATAACTGAGAGTGAACAATTATGAACCAAATGCAAACAGTGATGAGTCTGGTACTTAGTACAGAATAGGTCACCTGTGATTTCATGGTATTAGGGCACAACACTGAGCACAACTGGGCCTTAGCTCTGTTGCTCACCTGGTGCTACCAGAGTAAAAGAATCCTCCCAGGAGCTGGCAGTGTATTTGGGGTAAGGTTTCTGCAAGACATTAAGGTCCTGCCTAGCACCTATGCCAGGATGGCAGAGTATCTGCTACAGTTCTTTTGTTGTTCCACAGCCCAATGCTTTATTTTTTTCTGCAACGTGCTTTTCACACTAGGGATATTTTTTATTTTCTGCAGGTACTGTTCCTGCTTTGCATCAGTGTGAGCAGAAGCGGGATCAGACCTCCAGTTAAATAACTAATGCAGCTGTTTTGCTGAACCAGCTTCCTGGCTGGGAAATGAATCCAGTCAGCTGTGGATCACAAACCCCAGAAATGGAGATTTCAAAGATTTCATACATGAATTTTTTTTCTTAATATTTGAAGAGTTACTTTTCTTACAAAATCTGTTAGGCAGATGTTAGGAAGTAATTACTGTACATGAATCAGAAAGAGAATGCACATCTTATATTGAACATGAGTGGACTGAGTAAAGAAACTGATGATAGGTGAAAAAATGCTAAAATATATCTGAGTGAAATATGCCTGTATTTGCCTCAGGATTATAAGGAAGAAGGAGCACAGGGCAAGCTCCTCTCGTGAGCCATGTGTTCATTGTCTTTCCAACACAAGCAGCCACTGTTTTTTTTTTTATCAACAGCAGAACCATTGAGAGAAATTGGCCCTGGCTGGGCAGGGAGAGTTGCCATCAACACCTAACATCTAATTGCTTTCCAGGCAATTGCATCAGTGTCCAGTGTGCTGGACAGAGCTCAAACATCACGAAACTAAAATACTCTCAAGTGTCCCAAAGAATCCTTAGATCATGGAGCACATAAATATGGCTGATAGGACTGATCATATCAGTTAAACTCTTGTCTCCATGTACACATTTACTGTAATTTTTATGTATAAATACAAACAATCTTCAAATTATGATGTCAGGAGTAATAACACCAGAACAATAGGATAGAAAGCAAAACTGTAGGGAAAATGTTGCCCTGAATAATGCAGTTGTCCAGAGCAATTGGCTGTGGTTTTGTCCAGAACACAATATCCCATATATTTACAAACCTGGGCAATCTTCAGTGGCTGAAAAAGTTGCTGCTTCCACTGTACACAGTGCTCTGATGGATAGATTTTGAGATGAGGTGGGAGTTAGTAATGGTATAATTGGGTAAACAAAATCAGGAGCATTAAGAATGGATTCTGCCCTCAGCTTGCCTCCAGTACTGAGCCCTGCTTTTCTCTGCACTGGTTTCTCCTATGTAAAATTCAGAAATCATTCTTCCTTTCTGAAGTACTTTAAAATCTCAGGTTCAGAGTACTACATTAGAGTTAAATAAAATATCTCAAAAAACTGATAATAAAAATATTGTATTTTTCCATCCCTAGCAACTAATGCCCTTCAGAGGTAGGGTTTCTGTAATTACCTTTATGTACCAATGTGGCTGGAGCAACTGAGGCTGCAACAAGGAAATGATTCACCTGTACTGTGAAAGCTGCCTTAAGATGGTTTTTAGGGACATAAAACAGACCTTCAGATTGTGCTTATTGTCACACATAAAGTCAATTTCATTCAAAATACAAATCTCACATCAGTAACTACAGCCTTCTAAATTCCACCCCAGAGTCTATAACCTACAAACACCATAAACAGAAATGTTACAAAGGAAGCCTTTAAAATTACAAACCAGACAGAATGTTTAATATTTCAAGTCCAATTTACAATATAAAACCTAATTTTGAGAAATGCTATGAAAGCATCGGGGTTGGGTGCATTTTAGAACAGCATTTGTCACAAAAAAGAGCTTGAACATTTGGGTTGCCAAGGCAGAAACAAGCACCACAGACTCTCTTTACCCTTATGGGGATTCATCAAGGTTGTGCAGTGCAGCTGTTGTCTTAGTAAAAGAAAGTATCAGCCCCTGGCTGAAGGAAACAGAAACATAATTATGTTATGATGAGCTGGAAAACGTGCAAAGAAAAATTGGAATGCAAAGCGTGATAAATGATGCTTTGTCAATTGCAAAGCAGCAAGAAAAGCAGGCAGCACAATAACAGCCCTTCTCCAGTCAATGCTTCCAGTTCAGCTACCAGAATAAAGCACCACTCTAAGCATGGCATGGCAGTGCTAGCTTTTGGCTGTAGCACTTAGCCCTGGTGCAGTAATGCTGGGTTTGCAGAGTGGATTATGCAGTCAATCTTAGGAATAAAAATGAAAAAATAAATGGTGGGATACTCCTTAGAATTGAGACCATAATTCCTGCTAGAGAAAGTTCATAGTGTTATCTTATTCTGATTTTTATGCATATTAAAATTCCAAGGACCTTCTTCTTCAGGTTCCTTTTGATTATTTTTTCTGCCCCCAAAACCCTTTTTCTGACGAGGTGATGAACATTTTATGAACATTACAATGGCCATATGCAAGGAAATGCCATTCTTTAAAAACATTCTTTAAGCTGTCTGTGCTCACATTGACAAGGGCAGGATTTCCCTTCAGTAAAACACTGAAGTTCATTCTAGAGATGTGTACAAATCCAGTGGGAAAATTGGACTAATTATATAGCAGTACCGGAAACTTTTATTTAGACATTGAAAAGACAAAAAGGGACAAATGTCTAAAGAAAACCTCTAGATAAAGAGTAGAATGAATGAAAACAACCCAAACCAACTCAGCTGAGGGTGTTTTGGTAGGGCTGCAATGCCCACGTGCAGCCCTTGTCCAGCAGAGCTGGGGCTGTGCCCTCTAGTGCTGGCCACAGGACTGAGCTGAGGCACCACAGCTGAGCCTGTGCCCTTCAGAGCTCTGTGAAAACCTCTTCATTCCCAAGGCAAAAAGGCTGCTAGAATAACTCCATCAACCTCCCTCCTATGGAAAAAAAGCTCTAGGGCAGAATTTCCACTCTTGTTTTGAATTTCCTGCCTTTGGAAGATGCCTTCCTTTTAAACTAAAAATGTCTCTGAATCTGGTATTAATAATCTTGTGGGGCTCTTAATTAAAAAAAAAAAACCAAACAAAAAACCAAATGAACTACCCAAAAAACTATGTGTTGCTTCTGTAATGAAAAACAACCAGTTCTCAAATTAGCATCTATGTAGGATAGGTAATCTTCTATACATCAGTTTAAAAGGCTGAAACTGATATTCAGTTACTGTATTTTAAGTGTGTGGGTTTTGCCCTGTCAAATAAGGAGCACAGGCAAAATACTAATCACTCCACTCATACAACTACTGTTTGCAAGTCACAGATTTGTGATTTTTCATGACAGGATGATTTGCAAATTTTTGTTACCTACAAAAAAATAAGACTATTTTTACCAATAATTATTTTTATTTATATGGTAAAATTGCTTTATTATTTGACTGTAGTTTACATTTAGGGGTATTAACCACTTGTAGCTTAATCTAATAATTTTATTCCTACTGATTGGGGAAGCTGCGATTACTGAGGGGCAACACATCAGTGGAAGCCTGCAAACAATTTCTGTGAAACTCATGTATTCCTTGTGCTTACCCTTCAACCTTTCTCCGTTTCACACCAATTTGTGAGGTGGTCCATGAGACTGTAGAATTTTGCAGAACAATCTTGAGCTACTTATAATTCCTCCTGACATTGTTAAGATTAACCTGATCAATACAATATTTTCCTCTAATATTTTCTTCTTCAATCTGGTTTGCCTGACACCAAGCTTCTTTTTTGGCTGCAAGACATTAAAAGAGATATTTTACAGGTAAGTGAGAACAGTTCATCCCAGCCCCCACTCTGGCTCATCCCCATACATGTCTTATCCAGGAAAACCAACAGAAAAGCAAAGGCAGATTACAGAAATAAGTAAAGGTGAATGACTGGACTCCATCTAAGGATTAATAATAATATCTTTAAAAGCAGCCAAAGAGAAGGGCAAATCCAAATTAATTACTCTAAACTGATAGCTTTAGTGGCATTGGCTTCTTTGATTTTCACTTGATTTCAATCCTTCCTCTTCATGCTTCATTTCCCATGATTTCCCACGTGTTCTATTGCTTGTGCTGTCTGTTGTTCTCTCCAGCTGCTCCCTGACTACTATAACTTCCAGCATTTTTTTGGTTTTGCAGCAGATTCTTCCATAACCACATACTACTAATATATTTTATTATTCTGTCCTCCTCCTCCCATTTTTTTCCTCCTTCTTGTCAGCAAAAGTTCATTTTGTGGTCCTGGTGTGCAGAATGCCAAATGGTTTAGCAGACACAGCCTATGAAATCTACTTCTCAAACAAAACCACTGCTTTAAAATTTAGGAACATGGTGCTGTCAACAAGAGCAGAAGGGTCTCATACAGACTATTTACCTTTGCATGCCAACAGAATATGATCCATTAAAAATTCATTTTGGGAACAAAAGCCTAACTGCAAAGAAAGTCCTTGTTCCATATTTCCTTACCCTACTATCAGAGCTACACACCAGCCTGCTGTGCTCTCTCCCATCATTCTCCTCTCCTCTCCTCTCCTCTCCTCTCCTCTCCTCTCCTCTCCTCTCCTCTCCTCTCCTCTCCTCTCCTCTCCTCTCCTCTCCTCTCCTCTCCTCTCCTCTCCTCTCCTTGCTGTGATACCAAGTTTCATGACATGTATTTACTCTGTCATTCCAGCAATTGATGCTTTCCCTAAAATTTGCTTTGTCTGAAAGTGTACCCCTTTTCTCTATATTCCTGTGCATCCCTTGGGGGTCAATGGAGACACTTAATTAAGCAGGGTTCACCCTTTAACAAACCAAACATCCTTTCCCACAAGGATTTAGTAATTGCTGAGTTAGTGTAAAGATCCATCAAGTGTGAATTTATTTTTTATTAGAAGTTGATTTAGCCTAAGCTCTATTTCTGAAATATATTTTACTCTACCAAGACAAGGGAAGATGTTACAATCTCATAAATACTGCATGCTCAGGCATCCCTTTGCTTTCTCACAGAGAGGCAGTATGCAGCAATTGCTGTGCTGAAGCCTGGTGCATAGTCTGGGTATCAGGTACATGAATTCCCCAGACACAATCCAGTTTTCTCCAGTGGCTGTTCACTCACAGCTTAAACTCTGCAAAATGATAAGACAACAAGTCAGCAGTTCCTCATTCATTGCATGTTATTAACATTGAGATGGGGAAGTGTGTATCACCCATGGGAAGAAACGTCCTCAAGTTCCTGGGGCCTTAGGAAAGCTGGTGAGAAGGGAAGGAGCTGCTGGTTGATTCTTCATTCCAGTGCTGTGGTGAGGACCTGGGCCTACAGAGAGGGCAGGCTGCACCACAGTTATGCTGTCTCCCATTTTAGCTACACTGAGGTTAACAGGGTATCAAGGGAATCATATATCTGCACTGACCAGGGCAGGCTCTCAAAGTCAGGATCTCACCCTTGTGTCCCAACAAAGGTTGTTTCCCTTGGGATGCTATTTTTATCCAGAAGTTTAAAAAGATATTTTCTCCTCAACTCCCTCCACCCCTCTGTGGCCCTGGGAACTCTGATATTCCCAGCACCACAGCAGGAGAGGAGCCTGTTCCTGGCATCAGATTTCATGGGTGGCTGTAGGGAAGCAGTAAAGTGTTCCTGGCAGATAAACCCTGAGTGGGGGAAGAGGCTTCTTTCCTTCTTTCTTTTCTTCTTAATCCAGTTATTATCTGATCTGTATCATTTAAATAATTATATATGTCCTTGCTTCTACCAACTCTGGAGCTGGCTTGTGATAGCTCTTTAATTCCACCCATTCATACTTAGATAGTAACTGGCCTAGCAAATGGTACAGCTCCAGGTACAGCTCCCAGGGCTCTGCTTAAGAGCCATCTGACCTAAATCTCACTCATTATAAACAACCATAAATGTTGGTTTTGTTAATTTTTTTTCCCCAAACAACAGCAGTTACAGGAACATGTAATTTTGCTTTTGCCATTTATAACTAACACCCCCCCTAGGCATTTAATATAAATGACACTGAAAGATGAGTAAAATTAAATCTGGTTTTGATTTCCTTTTTATTTTTATATGGTTCATCTCTGAGGTTTTGCATTTATTATTATTAGTGTTAGCATGTATTTTTTTTCCTTTCCTCAACCTTTGTTCACAGATTTACACTTGGTGAGCATGTTGCTTCACTTCAAAAATAAGGTTAATACCTGCCTCTTCTTAGAAAGGCTTGAGACCTCTAAGCATATGTAGGCATGTAAAAATGAAAGGAGCTGATGAAATGTAAAAGGCATGAATCTGTGCTCAATCAATGCTAACCACTTAGCAGTATTAAATGACAAAATTCTGTATTGGGATAGCTCCCCTTAAAGCTGGGGAGCTATTTTGGCTTCAGGGAACCTTGCTGTGACAATTTTTATAAGCAAGTGTCATATACCACCAAATAGATCTCACATTACAGAGTAGCAGCACATGTATTGCATATAGTCCATAGTGACATAATGATTTATGTGAGTATAAATCATATGCTGTGTTTATAAATGGCCTTTACCCTAAACGAGGCTGCAAAGCTTGGGCACTTCTCTGAACTAGTATCGGAGCGATCTCCCCGATATGGCTTCAAAGCCTGAAGCGGTGCACGTTAAACGCGAACAGCGAAGTTTGGTGTTGGGATCCTAAGGAGCTGTTCGGACCGGGATGCCCAGGAGGCAGCACGGCTCCACGATGTCCTCTGTGACATTCTGCGCGATCAGCCGCCCCCGCCCCCGGGCTGTCTGCGCTGTCCCCCATCCCGCAGCAGCGGAGCGGCCGCTCCTGTGCCCAGATCCCGGTACCGGGGGCTGCGGGAGCGCTGCGGCCGCATCAGCCCAGCGGGGCGGCGGCGGAGCCGGCGCGGAGCCCCCGCGGGAGGCCACCGGGGAAGGGGGCGACCGTGCCTCCGCCCTCCCCGCGGCCAGGCGGCCCGGGGGCACCGCGGGGCTCCCCCGCTGCCCGCCCAGCCCGGCCCAGCCCCGCAGAGCACCGCCCGCCCCTCCATCCATTCTTTCATCCATCCACGCATCCGTGCATCCATGCATCCTCCATCCATCCACCCACCCACCCACCGCCCTTCCGCCGCCGTCTCCCTCTCTCCGGGAGCAGCCCGTGCGCACCGTGCGGTGGAGCCACCGCGCTTCGGCTCCGCGGGCGGACGCGGGGCCGCCGCGCCCGGCCGCGGCAGGAGGATGCGTGAGCGGGGCTGGCGACCTGGCATCGCGTCGGTGCTTGGATCCTCCCTCCTCCCTCTCCTCCTCCTCCTCCTCCTCCCCTCCCTCTCGCTCCCCGCCTGGCAGCGCGGGGCTGGGGAAGTTGCGCTTACACGAGAGATGGCTTCGCAGCGGGGATCGCTCTGAGGAAAGGTCTCCCCCTCCCTCGCCTCCCCCCGTCGCCGCGGCCTCCGAACTGTAAGTGGCAGGAAGGAAGTAAAGTTGCAAACAACCTGCCGCGGCAGGAACTTTGTGAGCTGCTCCAGCTGCATGTGTTCAAGGTGCCTTTGATGTACGTGCAGCAGCTTCTGGAAAGTGGACTGCAGCTTTCCCACCCGCCAGCCCTCCCTCTCCCCAGCCCTTCCCAGCCTCCCCTCCCACCACCGCCACTTCAGCCCGCACACGCAATTTGTTTGAGAAGAAAAAAAAAAAAGTGATGAACGAGAAGTGGTGAATTACCCAAGCGACTTTCCTCAAAGAGCGAGCGAGCCGGGGAGAGGAGCCGGGGCGAGCCCCGCGCAGCGCCGCGAGGGACCCGGCGGGGCTGCCGGGCTGTGAACGCGGCTCCGCAGCGAGATGCAAAAAGCCTCATCTGCTTGCGTTTGACTTGCGATGCCGGCTCCTCACTAGAATGCAAACCTTTGCACAGGATGAAAACAGGTTTGTGGCAAATTCTCTTGGAAATGTTTCGCTCCCCGCCGCCGCCACCTTCCTGTCTGAGATGTCAGAGAAGATCTTAATGATGACACCGTGGCAGATACCTCTGCTGTGTACCCACCACTGTTCTTTGGAGATATTCCGCCAGAGATAAATCTTTTATGCAGCTGTCTTTTCATATCAGTAGCGATTGCTGCATAATTTGCTCTTGATTGCAGTTAAAATATTCTCTTTAGGATCCGCTTCACAAAACGATGCAAAATAAACTCAGATGGGAGAAGTGTGGAATAGAAAGCTGCAAATGAAGTACTGATGGTGGATTGCTCTTCCCTTCTTCTTGCTCCCTCTCCCCCCCAGTGCTCTGCCTCTAAATGTGAGCCATTTCTAAACAAAAACATTTGCTACATTTCTGTTTAAAGCAGTGGTTTTGGGGGCTCTTTGGCTGTTGTTTTGGGAGCAGCCTCCCATCAGTGGTACTTGCCTTACTGATTGACTTTCTTGTGTGTCTGTGGCTGCCAAGCCCATCAGCTTTTATCTTGTTTTCACCTGTTTGAAAGTATGTCTTGTTTCTTCTAACACCTTGCAGGTCATTCTTCCAGAATGCCAGAGGAAAGTTCGCCAAAGCGGAGTCCTCAAAACATCCCATACAAGGATCTGCCCCATATCATCAATGCTGATGGGCAGTACCTCTTCTGCAGGTATTGGAAGCCAGAAGCATCTCCCAGGTGAGCACTTTCAAGCAAATGTCCTTTCTACTATCACTAAATATGACTCTGTTAATGCAATTATTATTTATAGCTTGACTGGCATTACAGGGCCGTGAACATGAGCTTTATAGGGCCCCTAAGAGAGCTTTCTCTCAACCAAGAAACTCCCTACTGTAAAAATTGCATTCTCTAAACCTTAACTTGCTCAAGTCAGCCTTGCAAATATAAAACATGGAGCTACTGTCATTCCATGCACAGCTGGCTCGGTTGGCAATATTCTTATTCAATATTCTACCAAGTGGCTCTGGCAGGTGGCTGATGCCTATCAGCAGTAAAAGCTATCCCCAAACTAATAGCACAGGCAGTCAGGGAGGACACGGACACAGGCTTTGCAATGTTCACTCTTTCTGATTTTCTCAGTGTCAACAAACTTAACATCAGCATCTGAGTATAGTAATAGCAGGGCAACAGGCAGAATGTTTGACTGCATTGCTTTTTGACTGGTTTTAAATTATTTATACTTAGTAAATGATTCAGGGAGCTCTCTCACTGGCAATTGCAATTTAAAAACTGACCTGTGTAATAAACACAGACAAATAATCAGATAGAGAATGTTTTCTAATTTTTTTTTTCATAATTTAAATAACCTCTTTAATAGCTTTCTGTGCTAATTTTGATCTGATGTGGCTCCTGTAGTTATGATCTTTCTTCTTCCAGTATCTGCTGGCTTGGCATGCATTTGTGCTGCCACTAGTTATGTAGGTATCTGCTTCATAAAAATCTGGATATTGCTTAATTGTTTTCTTTTTCTGCAAGCCAACAGGAAGAGCTGTGTTGATTGTATATAGGTAGAAAACAGTCACAGGAACAAGTTGTTAAATCTGTAGTAGGGAGTTAAACTTTATCCTGACGACCCAACAGGTTGGACACCATCCTCTG